CAGCTGCTGTAATTACAGGGGTGCACTTCTGTGTGTGCATATGTGATTGCAATAAAATTTTCCAGATTGCCCTCTGTAAAGCATGTAAAGCCCTCTGTAAAGCATGGCAGCAAATTACACTTGCMCCAGAAATTTGTGGGAACACTTATTTCCCCATCCACTTGCCARTTCAATTTGTTATCAAACTTATTGATCTTTGTAAAAGTGAGTAGATGAGTAAATTTAGTTTTAAATTGCTTTCTTTCTTTTTTTTTTTACCAGACATGTAGTTCTTTTTAAATTTTTTTTTTTTGCAAATTCTTTTTAAAAATCTTTTGCACCATTTTCTATTCTTTTATTTCTCTTACTGGTTTGTAGGAACTGACTATATTGAAGGTAGTCTGAGTTATAAGTTGCTAATATCCTTTCTTACAAYTTATTATTTGTCTTTTGTCTTTGCATGAACTAGTTTTCATATGCAGAAATTTATTTAAAATTACTCTGTGGATGAACTRATCCATTTTGAAAATGCCCTCTGAGTTGCATGTCATTCTCAGGCCCTTCTCATTGAGACTTAATATTTTTCCATTTCTTTCTGGGCAAATTATTCTTCCTRTTTATGGAAATTCAAGAATCCACATGAGAGTCCCTACTTTTCCCTTGGGTGGTAGAACTCTTCGATGATCTCCTTCTTTTCCTGCACATCAGAGTTTTCTCTATTCTCCCCAGGATTGTGGTTGGAGCCCCCCAGGAGATAAAAGCTGACAACCAAACAGGAGGCCTCTATCAATGTGAAATCAACACCCGCAACTGTGAGCCCATCTACTTTCAGGGTGAGTCACTGGCCCCCCTTTGGGTCCCTGGTAGTGCTGGATTCCATCTGTGACTCACCTGTACTTTCCAAGAATCCCCATGTTCTGGGGGATCTACACTGGGGGACAGAGGGAGTCTGGCTCTCCAGTTTCTGCTCAATCTGAAAACTCTACCTCAGATACTCTCAGGTGGCCTCTGTCTGTTACTTTCCCATGATGTGTGCCCTTGACCTGGCACACATCTGTGTCTCCAATTTGAAGTGATCCCTGCCTAGCTGTTTCACAGCTCCTTTCATCCCCTTGAGAGTGACCATGTGCATTCTATCTCTGCAGTCCCCATGGAGGCTGTGAACATGTCCTTGGGCCTCTCCCTGGCGACTGCCATCAACCCCTCACAGCTGCTGGTGAGTTACTCTGGGTCACAGGAGGGTCTTGAGGGGAGGAATGGGGACCTGAGGCTATTGGGGCTGGGGTCTTGTGGGAGGTGGAGGTGCTGCTATGAAAGGACAGGGAGCAGAGCAGCTCCTTCCATTGGTACCCTGTCCCTCAGGCCTGTGGCCCCACCGTGCACCAAACTTGCAAGGAGAACACATATGTAAATGGCTTCTGCTTCCTATTTGGATCCAACCTACGGCAGCAGCCCCAGAGGTTTCCAGAGGCCCTCAGAGGTATGTGCCTTTTGGAAGAGACTGGAGGATAGAGGGTAGGACTGAGCTTGTGGTCTAGGGGATAACTTAGAGGTCTAGGTGCAGAAGGATGGGGAAGCCATTCCATTAAAAAGAATTGGTGGTGGGGACGGGGTAGGGAAAAGTGGGGGAAAAGACTGCAACTTGCTCCCAGGGACTGAACTAAAAAAACAAAAAACAAAAGAAAAAAACAACAAAAGAAAAAAACAAAAAACAAAAGAAAGAAAGAAAAAAGGTTGGAATTCATCAGTGTTTAATTACTCGTCTTCTCCTTTATCCTCCTCTCCTTCCTCCCCTTCATCATCATGTTCATCTTCTTCACCTTCATCCTCATCC